TTTTATTCGGGTATCATTATCATTTCTTCATCTAACATAGGTATTCAAACAATTTTTTGCTTAAGTATTTAAATAGAAATAAATTAAATGCGTGAGTTTCCACGGTTCCGTACGATAATAACGAAGGAAGCAGAACTCATGATTTCGTCATTATCGCTAATTAATACCAAACAATCGCTTTATTTTATGTAATACTAGTGACCCGCCCCAGCTTCGCACGGGTGCAATGCTGATACTAAATATATTTTTGTTTTGTTTAGATTATTATCGAAAAGGGGAAATCTTCAAAAGATACCTCTTGAATATACTAAATATACTATAGAATGTCATTATATACAACATTCACAGTTTTTTTGTCATTAGACAATACAAACCGACCTCCCGGCCGGTACCGCCGCAACCGCTATGTCCCTGCATTTTAAATCTGTAATATCTTCGAAAATATTCATTTAAATTACATATTGTAAAGGGCCATATTGATCTATATTAAATGCACAATGTATTTAAGGTACTTAATTGGATAAGAATTAGTGCTGTATTACCTACAATCGCTTCGTAAATAAGTCATTATTTCTCATAAAAAGTAAAGGATAACAATGGTTATTGTGGGTTATCCCTAAGAGATAGACGTACCATCCCGGACTTTTTTGTAGACTCTTTTAATATGTTCAATATTGTAGTGCATGATTTTGATCTATCTCGTAGGGTTCAGCCAGCGTTTGCAATGTAAGCGCAAAAAATGTGTTTATTACAACATCACATTAGAAACCTCTAAAATTATCAGTGTTTCCCTATTATATTATGCATATATTATACATATAAACCTTCCTCTTGAATCACTCTATCTTTAAAAACCAAGCGCATCAAAATCCGTTGCGTAGTTTTAAAGATTTAAGCATACATAGGAACAGACAGCGGGAAAGCGACTTTGTTTTATACTATGTATTAGTGATGTAACTAATTTTTTTGCCATTCTATCCCAACGTAGGATTTAAATGGGATTTTTTAAATTCAGTTAATATAATTAGGTTTCAAAGTGCGTGCAATATGTCCTTCCTTTCAGTAATTTAACCACGAGTGTAAAAAACTAAACTAAAAGAGTAATTTTAAATATTTATTTAAACGGTAAGTGACATTTTTTTAATTTACCTTTCCCGTTGACATTGGCACAAGATATTTTTTAATGTCGTACAATTCTATATTTCGAACAGTATTCCCAATTTTTCGCGTTTTCTTCTAGAATTTTTATCATATGAGCTGTCAAAGTTAATTCATGGTTAAATGTGAATTAACTGTACGTACGAACTTGTTGTCAACGGTACGAGGTAAATCCGCATGATCTGAATTTTAATTGATCCTAATATTTTCGAAGACATCTGGTCAGATAGATACCTATACCACTTGTCAGTACAGACCTAATTAGAATACTTATTTAAACGGCTGATGAACTCCAAAGCCAAGATTCAAGGAAGAGCCAAGTAAGTGTAGGAAGAGAGGATCGAGACCTCAAAACCTCCGAATCGTCTGCATAGGGCCACCTTGGTTCAGTTCAAAGACCTCTTTCTCTTAGCTCACACACAACTAATTTACACGTGATTTAAAATTTTAATGATCCTTCTTGATCGGTTTTTTTCTGCTAAGCGTTTTCATTTCGATTAGAGATATGTTGTATAATCTCAATAGTAATATAGGGGATAATAACTAACAACTAACTGCGACCCATTATTATTTTCTTATTAGGTAATATACCAATCTTTGCATGGGTAAAGAATATCGCAGATAATTACCAGTAAAACATTTATTAGTAGGGGTTCTCTGTTTTTTTCCCATCATACAGTTATTTTTAAAATTACTGCAACTGAACCTTATTAATCTTCACTCTTGTCTATTAACAACTTTCCATTAATAACAACATATGGCTTCTTCAAAAACTACCCCGTTTACTTTAAATATACAATATAACGTTAACATAAAAATGTTGTTGATAAAAAGAAGCTGAAAATTTATTCAAATTATAAAACTTATAACCTTTACTGTAATCTCCCTCTAAGGTTTAGATTCGATATTAACCTGATTTTCTCATAGTTTCGGAAATAAAGGGTAAAACAATCATCATTGTGCATGTTGTTATCAACGCATATCGCAGGCAGAAATCGATACGCATGATAGTCAGAAATAATACGCAAGCGACACACAATTCTCGTGCGACAATAAGAACTTACGGGAAGTTTCCGGAAATAATCAGGAATGTTTAAAAGTCAGAAAAATAAGCAACAAGTAACTAACGGTATATAGTCGATTTAAGACCGTGATAAAGATAGTATGCGAACGAAAGAAATATAAACAGTGATATATATAAATAAATTAAATTATTGTATATAGTATGATTTTGGGTTAAATAAAATACTTACATTGTTTAAATATATAAAATAATATAATCATTCTGAATTGTTGACCTAATTAATAAACTTCAGCAAAAGTATTTGTCAAACTATTACAGAATGTTTCGTAATAAATCTCTCATGTTTATTGAATTTTTGTTTTTATGCGAAAGAATTTCCCCAATCCCACTTTTTTAATACCTACGCCTAACAGAAGTTAACTATCTCCTATTATTAGCATGCAAATGACCAAATTACCACGGTCGATTAATTTTTAAGAAACAACTCGCGATATCAACACGACTAATACAGTAATAAGTACAAACTGAACGATCAAAGAAAAACCGTTAATTTCGTCACCTACAGCAATCGTTCGATACAAGTCGTCGACTATTTTTAAAGCCGCCTTATTGTTTCATTAAATCGAATATAATTTTATCGGCTAGTAAATAATGATATTGTTTTCAGTTTATAAAGTGCAGGCTTGTGCATACTTTCTCTTTGAAATATATACAAATAATACGAAATTAGTAATGAATGAGTAACCATATTTACCTATGTACTTAGGAATGATGAATTCGAGTAAATAAAGAAGACATTTGCGCATTAAGCGATTTACATTATTTAAGTGGAGCATTTACACTTTTGTGTAACCTTTGCTGAGGGTAGAAATTCAAATAAAAAAAAAATTGATTTAATGGTTTGTCGTTAATTTCAGTAAGAACTTTACGAAAGAAAGTTTACTTTGAAATTTGATATTATACTTATTATCCGTAATAATTAGATATAATAAAAACAATAGAAATTAAGTTGTATTGGTATGTAGAAGCATAACTTATATCATAAATATTCTGTACCATTAAATTGGTATTCTATTTCAGCTAAAATATACAGATAATGTAAAGATTCAGTTTAAAAATATACCACAATACTATAAAACCTACAATTATTCATTTCTTTGACTATATGAAATCTAGTAAATTTTGTAAATAGAGAAGTAAATCAAGAAATTCAGGTTTACTCAAATTTCTTATAAAGTAGATTTTGTTAAACGATAAGCGATCAGTATTTCGATATTTAGTGTAATCTGAGAAGGATGTATTTTCCACTGTAATTAAAGCTAGAATTTTCCATTGGTTTCAGTTAAAGCTACACTTTTCCATAGATATATCGTTGAAATTTAGTAATCTTTGCGAATGAAAAAATTCAGTTTTTCTAAAACTTCTTATAACCTGATCTGTTAAGCGATGAGCGATCAACCTTTTGATATTTGATCCTAAAGTGGCGATGGGCGATGAAGTATTTTTCATCAAGGTTAAAGCTTCAGCTTTCCATGGGGTTTATTGACTTTCAGTAAGCTTTACAAATAAAGAAATTCAGATTTACTAGGACTTCTTATAACCTGATCTATTAAACTATGAGGGATCAACATTTTAATATTTGATCCTAATGTGGCGATGAAGTATTTTCCAATGAAGCTAAAGCTTCGGTTTTCTAAAGGTTTATCGCTGATTTTTAAGAAGCTTTGCAAATGAAGAAATTCAAATTTACTAGAACTTCTTATAAACTGATCTGTTAAACTATCAGCGATCAGAACTTTGATATTTGATCCTAATGTGGCGATGAAGTATTTTCCAATGAAGCTAAAGCTTCGGTTTTCTAAAGGTTTATCGCTGATTTTTAATAAGCTTTGCAAATGAAGAAATTCAAATTTACTAGAACTTCTTATAAACTGATCTGTTAAACTATCAGCGATCAGAACTTTGATATTTGATCCTAATGTGGCGATGGGCGATGAAGTATTTCTCATTGAAGGTAAAGCTTCAGTTTTCCAAAGGTTTACCACATACACTCAGTATTGCAAATGAAAAGATTCAGATTTACATGAACTTCGTATAACCTGATCTGTTAAACGATCAGCGATCAACATTTTGATATTTGAACCTAATGTGGCGATGGACGATGAAGTATTTTTCACTGAAGTTAAAGCTTCAGTCTTTCATAGGTTTAACACTGACTTTCAGTAAGCTTTGCAAATGAAGAAATTCAGATTTACTAGAACTTCATATAACCTGACCTGTATACGATGAGCGATCAGCATTTCGACAAATGATCCTAATGTGATAATAATGTATTTTCCATTGTTGCTACCGCTATAGTTTTCCAAAGGTTTATCGCTAACTTTCAGTAAGCTTTGCAAATGAAGAAATTCAGGTTTACCAGAACTTCTTATAACCTGATCTGATGAGCGATTCCTAATGTGGAAATGAGGTATTTTTCATTAGAGCTTTCCATTGGTTTACGTTTACCGTTGAAATTCAGTAAGCTTTGCGAAAGAAGAATTAAATCTAGAAATTCATATTTCATGGTAGTATATTCGCGTGCTTTTTTAGTTCCATTTAATAAAGTGAGTTATCACCGTATTACACATTATGCGGTCGCGTTTTCGCATATGGTTTTGTGCCCGTCACCAGCGATCTGCATCGAGACGGGCAGAAGGCAGTCACAGAGTACAGTCACATTAGTAGTCAAAGTCACGACTCTTGGAAAACGGTCAGGAAAGCTTTAGTAGTTGCGTGGTCGACCGCAGCGCGCGCGCGCTATCCTTTTTGCACTTTTATCGCGGGCGACGGGCATGTGCGGCAAGTAAAATTCGCCCGCAGTTGCCATCTACATGGCAAACAGTCGACACCGCGGCCGATCATTGAACTTGTGGCTTTTCTCTCTCGCGATGCTCTTTCTTTAGTCCTCGACAGACACAAGTTATCAGTATCTTCAGTCGTTGTGTTCACCATTTACATGCCGACTCGTAGTCGTCGACTTCATCTTCATCATCTTTAAATATTGCTTCGTGTTTTTCGTTCTCTTCGGTTTTTCCGATACCGGACCGTCTCAGTTTGGGTTGCTCGCCTGACTGACTATTAAAGTCTCTCCTGTTTGATTATGGTGAAAGTGAACAGTGAATTTAAATATTAAGGAATTGAATGCCGATTCAACTGATCAACCATGGGTGAGTTCAACTCTCCTTTTCTTGTTGCACTGTTTTGCAACATAAGGAAATGCAAATGTTTTTGCCATTAACCAAAGCTTTTTTACGTTCTACCTAACTTTGGACAAAATCTTAACAAAGTGATCGTCACAACTGCTATCTACATAATATAAAAACGGTATATTTGTAGTATCCATGTATATGTATAGGTATAGAAATATCCTGGCAATGCACAGTTTTAGATGCGGTTCTAGGAGCACCTAGTTAAGAAGGATATCTAATATTCACTGAGGATATCCAGAGATGACTTTTAATGAATTCTGAAATACTAATATCCCAATATCTTTTTGGTGAATATGGATTACTAATAAATGTCTCTTGAGGTCAAATTTGTATTCCAAATAATAAAAACTTTGTGTATATTGAAAATTTCGCTTGTCCTTATTTAATTAAGATCTAAATTTGGATGAAATTTACAAGAGAATTTTTTCTCTTTCTTGGATTATTAAAGCCCTTTTGGGATGCCTTTTTATTTGGTATCATAAAAATCTAAACTTCGACAATAATGAAACTGCGACGGGACTGTTAAAGATAATTTTTCTTCTGAGATCTTCTGGAGGTTATTATCAATGATGACGTGCAAGAATCCACTTTTGGCAAGGACGACTCTAGGCTAGCAAGATGTTAATTAATTACCAGGTTGACTCATTCGGTACTGTACAACGGACAAAGGTAAATACTAGAAAGAAATCTTTATCTAACTGGAATCGTAAAATAATGCCGCTGTTTTAAAGAAGGAGTGTATGAACTTTGCGCCTTAATGATTAAGTTGCATCATTTTCGAGCAATTAAAGAAATTATTAATTAGTTCTAATCTCTCATTAACAAATTTTCAGTAGACAATACTTTTTGCCCTAGTTAGTTGCATACTTGGGTCGTTTCTTTTGGTTGATGGAAGGTCGAAAATGTTCAGTAATTAATTTATGTTATATCTACATTTTACTTGTTTACGAAATACCCAGCTATGATTACGATTAGAATTGTACTTTTTTGGCTGACTGAATTACCTTTAAAAAGTTTTTAAAGAAGTGTTTTTACCAAGATATATATACACCGAAAAATTTTCCGCACAAAACTTTAATATCGGACATGCCCATTTACACAAACGGTTTTTGTCGCGTCGAAATTAATGACATTTTTATAATTTTGTAATTGTTGTTCGCTTAGATTAGCAATAACATGACCAAAATTGTGTTACGAGAGTGGCCTTTGAAAGACCTAAATTCTGTTCGTGGCAAACTTGATTACGCTCGCGTCGTCGTGTAATCTATAATTCGTCTCGCAATTTTTTACTCAGTGCAACCGTATGCCGGAATCATTAAGAGAAGATAAAAATGTGTAGCATATTAAGATCATCAGGTTAGTGTTTTTAACTGTAAACTGCTACACAGCGTAATATTTTTAACGTTAATGCGATCGTAAAACTGACTGGGAAAAATGTAGGCTGAAATTATACGTTTTAATGTACTAGTTGCGTATCATTCAGCCAATTCACCTAAAAGAAAATTAATGTGAACCCGTTTTCAGTAGTTTATTACTCACTAAAAGCTTCGCGTATTAACTTCTTTTCTACGTTGATTGGAAATATATATATACAACACAGATGTTATCTCAAATGGGTAGATACCATAGTTAACATACAGGGTGATTTTTTTCTCTTACGACTACAATTGTTCTTAGACCATAGTTTTGGGTTTTAAATTACAGTTTATATAGTAGATCTCATCATCATAATAGGGTTACTAATCCCAAGATTAGTTGAACATACACCTTCTTATCCACAGATAAACTTCGTATTTCCCTGAAGCTACAATATCGCATATCCTCAACCGTTTGGAGATTAATTTAACAGAGGTCTCTTCAAATCTTCTTCTACCCCTTATCACTCCTACATCTGCTTCTAATATGTTTTTAATTAACTTCATGTCTCAGTAGGTCCTTTATTCTGGTACTATCTCTATCCGTACTCATACAGAGCTGCGCTCCAAATATAAACTTGAAAAATATTTTTCGGTCGCAAGTACAGAAATTGAAAACCGACGACTTCTTTTAGTTTTTTGTTTCAGATTTTTGTATTACTTTAACTTCCCTTATTACATACCTATATTTTTTATTTTCATTCCATGCTGTTCTGTCAATACCGTTTCCGTTTTCTTTCAAGTAATTATAAATAAAAATCAAAAATCCATCAGGAAGTACAGCGGTACACTGTAAGTTCGTACGAAAAGTTTTTTGAGGGAGATGAGGTGGAACAAGCAATGAATTATGTAAAATCATCACTTTTGGAAATGTAACATAAGGACTATTAAATGAAAAAGAATGGAATTTGAAATTTATGAACACCAAATCAATTTGTTGCATATTTCATATGGTTTTAGTTATGACAGTGCAAGTACAGACTTCTCAGTTCTTTTTTTTAAGGTCATACATGACAAAAAGTCTTCGCGATATTCTTACATCACGACATCGTTTACTTAATGATTTTCTAATACAAAGTCGCAGACAAACCGCAAATGCAAATAAGTGTAAATGAGTTTTTTTTATTATCAAATGCATCTGACCGATTAAAAGCAAAATTTCATGGGTTTGTTTTATTAGATATATCGTTGACAGGCTCTTGTTACTAGGAAACAGAGCATGTAATCATTTTAGTGTAAAAAGTTATTACCTCCTCGTTCGTAACAAGTGGGCACATTTTTATGACATTATAAAAAGGTATTTTGAAAAACAAAACAACATACCTAAATGGTAATACCAGCGACGGGAAGTGCCACACGATCTTTCATACAAATGAAGTGTCTGAATTATAATATTAATGAGTAGTTGAACTTGTCCAAATTTGGACTTAACTTAAGCCCATATTCTTAATTGCATGCACCAATGATAATTATTAGGTACAAGCATTTTAACGTCTATACAATTATTACCTTGACATTCGAATTTACGATTAGTGAAAATTGCTCCGTTGCCCTGAGCTTCTTTTAAAGCAGGAATGAATGCTATTGCAAAACTCAATCCTGGTTTGGAAAACTTTCCATTGCTTACCCCCAAAGAAGGTATAAAGCAACTAGGTACTTTTTAGTTATAGAAAAGTGACTGATGGAATATTAATTTCTTTTCTACCTTTAAATTGACCACTGCTACTTCAATCTTTTTGTAGGTACTACTTTTAATGTTGCTGTACCTACGAGTTTATTATTTCGTATCCGTGTGTACTTAGATGAATATTTAAAGAAATTTTACGATTCAGAAATTTAAATTAAATTATCGTTAAAGAGGATTGGTGTTTTTATTGTATTGTAGTATAGGCTAGATATTATGGCGAACCTGCTCAGAAGAAATCATACTTTAGCGTTTTGTTAGCGTACCTTAATACAAACGTATATCATACTATGACATTCAAAGAAGCAGAAGAAGAGAAGAAAGAAAAAAAAAAGAGCATACCTACACGACGGGGGTTTGTAATGGAAGAACATGCGCTGCCGCTGTTAACGATCGATGTGGATCGTTGCAATCACTTCATTAAGTCATACGAAAGCATATTAAATTAGATCTTTGTTCTTCTTTACGTTGGAGAACAACAGTGTTTAATCAGGCGTAGAATGAAATTCGATGGCAGCGGTTCCTAAATAATAATTAATGATTGAAAAAACAATAATTGGAATTACATACTTGTTGCTATCTGTAATACGTATTGGAGAGGTTACTATAATTTAAACCGTTATTGATTTTTTACAATTAACTGTAGATATGTAAGGAATTTTGTCCGTTAAGTTTCATTAAAATCGTTCGTTAATATTTCTAGGGACGCTCACGAAATTGGGTTACGTAAAACGTCAACAACAAATTAATGACCTACAAAAGGGAGACATTATTAAAATGGAGCAGTTCGTAGATACATTTAATAATCAGAAGCAGTTTAGGTTTATATGGCGCGATAGCCTTCCATCTCGCATCTATGAAGAAGGTTTTGGTTTTAAGCTGGAGGAGTTGGTTTCAAAGATGTGGGGGTTAAATTGACACCTTTACTGATTGTATGGATTTCTTTGGGATGATAGTCTTTTAATTCACTTATCCTTGAAACCAACCCCTGCAGCTGAAAACCGAAATCTTCTATATGGATAGGAAGTTCCAAAAAAAATGATACCTTCTGATAATATCTGTGAATATTTCATTTGCTTTTGTATCATCTTCACGAACGGGGGATGGAAGACTATCTTAACGGTAACTAATTTTTCCTAACGAAGCGAGGGTAATAAAAGTAAATGTAGCTTGTCCATACTAGCCGCTAAAGTTCCGCAGCCACATGGGGGTTATAGAGTATGACAACGTTCCATACATGGAGAAGGTTTCGGCTTTCAGTCGTAGGAGCTGGATTCAAAGATATCGCCCCAGAGGACTCCGTACAGAATTAGAATGATATAGAATGTCACAGATTTTTCCTTAATACTCTACAGAGTTCGAGACTGATTTAGAATTCTCTGGAATGGCAACGTTCCCGAAGGATTCAGAATAACCGTCAAACAATTATCGAACAATGCTATTGAAGCAAAAATTATGTTAAGAAAAGAAAGGAATATATACTTATATCAAAAATATTTCGATACCTTATATCAGATGTACATAATAGCGGAGTATATTATAAAACGAATGTTGGTAACTACTGAATTCTCCGTAATTAACAGTCGGAATTTGTTCATTTGGTAAATTATAATCATCGATGGGTTATCCGAACTAATATTGTAAATGCGAATGTGAATTTTTATTAGCATTTCACACTTTAACTATTTAACCGATCATGAAATTAAAAAGTTTATGCATAATCTAAACAATTGGAAACTTTAGTTTCATCCTAATGATCCTGCTCAGGACTTAAGAACATATTTATAAAAATATTGTATTTTCGATAATCTTTGACACGTATGTATTTAAGATAACAACGCGAGCAAAGTGTGTATATA